AGCCTTTTCCATCCTATGGAAAGGGAGCATGGACACGGGGGTTGTCCCACAGTTACTAAAAACAACAGACATAGCCCCACTCCACAAAGGGGGCAGTAAATCAACAGCAAAGAACTACAGACCGATAGCACTAACATCCCATATCATAAAAATCTTTGAAAGGGTCCTAAGAAGCAAGATCACCACCCATCTAGAAACCCATCAGTTACACAACCCAGGGCAACATGGGTTTAGAACAGGTCGCTCCTGTCTGTCTCAACTATTGGATCACTACGACAAGGTCCTAAATGCACTAGAAGATAAAAAGAATGCAGATGTAATATATACAGACTTTGCAAAAGCCTTCGACAAGTGTGACCATGGCATAATAGCGCACAAAATGCGTGCTAAAGGAATAACAGGAAAAGTCGGTCGATGGATCTATAATTTCCTCACTAACAGAACACAGAGAGTAGTCGTCAACAGAGTAAAGTCCGAGGCAGCTACGGTGAAAAGCTCTGTTCCACAAGGCACAGTACTCGCTCCCATCTTGTTCCTCATCCTCATATCCGACATAGACAAGGATGTCAGCCACAGCACCGTGTCTTCCTTTGCTGATGACACCCGAATCTGCATGACAGTGTCTTCCATTGCAGACACTGCAAGGCTCCAGGCGGACATCAACCGAATCTTTCAGTGGGCTGCAGAAAAGCAATATGAAGTTCAACGATGAGAAATTTCAATTACTCAGATATGGTAAACACGAGGAAATTAAATCTTCATCAGAGTACAAAACAAATTCTGGCCACAAAATAGAGCGAAACACCAACGTTCAAAGACCTGGAGTGATCATGTCGGAGGATCTCACCTTCAAGGACCATAACATTGTATCAATCGCATCTGCGAGAAAAATGACAGGATGGATAATGAGAACCTTCAAAACTAGGGAGGCCAAGCCCATGATGACACTCTTCAGGTTCACTTGTTCTATCTAGGCTGGAATATTGCTGCACACTAACAGCACCTTTCAAGGCAGGTGAAATTGCTGACCTAGAAAATGTACAGAGAACCTTCACGGCGCGCATAATGGAGATAAAACACCTCAATTACTGGGAGCACTTGAGGTTCCTGAACCTGTATTCCCTGGAATGCAGGCAGGAGAGATGTATGATTATATACACCTGGAAAATCCTAGAGGGACTAGTACCGAACTTGCACACGAAAATCACTCACTACGAAAGCAAAAGACTTGGCAGACGATGCAACATCCCCCCAATGAAAAGCAGGGGTGTCACTAGCACGTTAAGAGACCATACAATAAGTGTCAGGGGCCTGAGACTGTTCATCTGCCTCCCAGCATACATAAGGGGGATTACCAACAGACCCCTGGCAGTCTTCAAGCTGGCACTGGACAAGCACCTAAAGTCGGTTCCTGACCAGCCGGGCTGTGGCTCGTACGTTGGTTTGCATGCAGCCAGCAGTAACAGCCTGGTTGATCAGGCTCTGATCCACCAGGAGGCCTGGTCACAGACCGGGCCGGGGGGGGCGTTGACCCCCGGAACTCTCTCCAGGTAAACTCCAGGTAAGCATCAGTAAACGAATTCATTGCTAAATGAGGAGCATACTACAGTGGACCGCCGGTTCGCGATGCTATCAGTATCTGATAAATCCGGTAACCGATGCATTATATCGCAGAAAATTTGCCTCGGTTCCCTTTACAAAACCCGGTATGCAATGCGGTTCGTACGAGATGTGTCCACGTGTGGCCTGAACTGGCCCATGTGTGCCAGTGTTTACAAGACAGCCAGTGTGCACGCATCTAAGGATACATTCGGTACATTCCATATTATCCATATTATCACTGTTTTTGGTGCTTGTTTCTGGAAAATAAGTCACCATGGGCCCCAAGAAAGCTCCTAGTGCCAACCCTTCGAGACCAAGGGTGCTAACGACTTGAAATGAAGAAAGAGATAATTGCAAAGTACGAAAGTGGAGTGCGTGTGTCGGAGCTGGTCAGGTTGTATAGTAAACCCCAATCAACCATCTCTACTATAGTGAGCAGGAAAACGGAAATCAAGGAAGCTGTTCTTGCAAAAGGTGCAACTGTGATTACGAAACAGTGACCGCAAGTGTTAGAAAATGTTGAGAGACTGTTATTGATGTGGATAAATGAAAAACAGATAGCAGGAGATAGCATCTCTCAAGTGATCATTTGTGAAAAGGCTAGGCAGTTGCATGACGATTTCTTAAAAAAAAAATTGCCTGCAACTAGTGGTAATGTGAGTGAATTTAAGGCCAGCAAAGGTTGGTTTGAAAGATTTAAGAATCGTAGTGGCATACATAGTGTGATTAGGCATGGTGAGGCTGCCAGTTCAGACCACAAAGTGGCTGAAAAATATGTGCATGAATTCAAGGAGTACATAGAGGCTGAAGGATTGAAACCTGAACAAGTGTTTAATTGTGACGAAACAGGCCTGTTTTGGAAGAAATTGCCAAGCAGGACCTACATTACTCAGGAGGAAAAGGCACTCCCAGGACATAAGCCTATGAAAGACAGGCTTACTCTTCTGATGTGTGCCAGTGATTGCAAAGTGAAGCCTTTATTGGTGCATCACTCAGAAACTCCCAGAGCGTTCAGGTAAAAGAATATCCTCAAGGCTAATTTGTGTGTGCTGTGGAGGGCAAACAGTAAGGCATGGGTCACTAGGGACTTTTTCTATGACTGGTTACACCATGCATTTGCCCCCAATGTGAAAAATTACCTAATTGAAAAGAAATTAGACCTTAAGTGCCTCCTGGTATTAGACAATGCCCCTGGTCATCCTACAGACTTGGCAGAGCGACTTTCTGGGGACACAAGTTTCATTAAGGTGAAGCTTTTGCCTCCTAATACCACTCCTCTCCTGCCGCCCATGGACCAGCAGGTCATTTCCAACTTCAAGAAACTGTACACAAAAGCTATATTTGAAAGGTGCTTTGAAGTGACCTCAGATACTCTATTGACTCTAAAGGAGTTTTGGAAGGATCACTTTAATATCCTCAATTGTGTAAACCTTATAGGTAAGGCTTGGGAGGGAGTGACTAAGAGGACCTTGAACTCTGCCTGGAAAAAACTGTGGCCAGAATGTGTAGACAAAATGGATTTCAAAGGGTTTGAGGCTAACCCTGAGAAGCCTATGCCAGTTAAGGAATCCATTGTGGCATTGGGGAAGTCCTTGGGTTTGGTGGTTAGTGGGGAGGATGTGGAAGAGTTGATGGAGGAGGACAATGACAAACTAACCACTGATGAGCTGCTAGATCATCTTCAACAGCAAGAGGCCACACCTAAGGAAACTGCTCCGGAGGAGGGGATAGAGAAATTGGAGAAGTTGTCTACTTCAAAGATTAAGGAAATGTGTGCAATGTGGATTAAAGTGCAAAGCTTTTTTGATGAAAATCACCCTCAGACAGCTACTGCAAGCCGTGTTGGCAACTTGTACAATGACACTGTTGTGAACCACTTTAGGAAAGTCATAAAGGAACGAGAGGTACAGGCCTCTATGGACAGATATGTTGTGCGACACAAGTCCAGTGACTCTCAACCTGGTCCTAGTGGCATTAAAAGAAGAAGGGAAGTAACCCCGGAAAAGGACTTGCTACCTCAAGTCCTAATGGAGGAGGATTCCCCTTCTAAACGCTAACACCATCCACACTCTCCCCTCCTCCCATCCCATCAATCGTCATCAGATCTTCATTAAAGGTAAGTGTCAATTATTCTTTTGTTACATATTATTCTATTGTTATTGTTGTTATTGTAATTATTCTATTGCATTAAACTTAATATTTCATGTGGTAAAAGTTTTTTTTTTCATACTTTTGGGTGTCTTGTACGGATTAATTTGATTTCCATTATTTCTTATGGGGGAAAATTGATTCGCTTTCCGATAATTTTGGTTTACAATGAGCTCTCAGGAACGGATTAATATCGCAAACCGAGGGTCCACTGTATAATGGTAGTGGGTTTGTGTCAACCATCTTTGATATTGTTTTATTGTCACCTTTGCACCATATATAACATTTCTGGTATATTTTAAAATGTTTGTACAGTAGTGTACTATATATTGTAATAAACAGAATAGAGGAAATCAGCTCTAATATACATTACAGTAGTTCCCCCAAATTCGCAGGGGTTATGTTCCAAGACCACCTGCAAATTTGGAAAAACGTGAATTCTTGAAGCAGTTAAAAAAAATGCCTATTTTTATATTTTAAACCCTAAATATGCTCCAAAACACTTTTATTTAATTTCAAACTCAGCTTCATACATCATCGTTAAAAAAAATATAAAGATAAGCTCATATACAGTACTGTACTGCTATGCTTTCCGCAGTGCTAGAATGTACATAAAATTACCGATGTTACTCCCATATGTACTGTAATTCATGCAATCCTGTTTTCTTTGGTATATGTACGGGAATAATTTTTTTATATGACATTATATTTTATATGGAAATTTTGCTGAATTTACATTTATACTTATGTTACAAAATTATTCAGTTATAATTTTTCTTAATATTTAGCATTAAAATGCATAAAAAATTATATATTGTCATGAAAAAAAGTTCCCCCCCAAAAAAAATCCACAAATTTGCAGGAATTTCCGTGAACAATTATTAGTTAGGTTCTAAGAAAAAAATTCTGCAAATTCGCAGGGGTCTACTATACTACATTACTATGGCAAGATGGGTTTCGAAGTGCAATACAAGTGTAAAGATGCTACATTATTAGGAATTGACACCATGTGACTCATCTTTGCTGTTATTTTTTGGTTCTCAGAAGCCCTTTTGTCTTTTCTCTGTTCCAGGTCTTATTTCAACTCATGTGGTTTCTTACAAATTATTTATAATGTACTGTACTTAGGTACTCGACTCAGCTCGTAACAACCATGTTATTATTTTTTCTTTGCAATTTCAGAGTATATGTTTCCAAATATGGTAAATGGTATGATTTGGTATTAATACATTTTTATTATTTCTTTGCAGGTGGCACATAAAATGGATATTCCACCAAGCAGATTTCACTTACGTTGATACTAGTGTAGATGAAAATACATCTGTTATTAAACTTCTTGCTAGATACTTAGAGCCTTCTAATGACTTGAGTCCTGAAGATAATGAGAAGTTAGCTTATTATCAGTCAGCATCATATGGTAAAGTTGCTGTATTGATCAAAACTGATGTGCCTGGTTCGGGGACAACTTTTCAAGAGCTCTTTTTGTCTAAGAGTATTCGTCTCAACTTGGCAAATAAGACAATACTTGAATATCCAATTTTCTATGCAGTTTTAAGGGATCACATACATGCGTACTTAGAGTACCAGCCTGAAGGCCATGATGACCTCTTTAGTGACCCAGAAGTAAAAGAAGCAAGAGAGACACATAAAGCTGATGGGTTGAGCTTTTTTGATGCCAGTAATGTGGAAGAAGATTAAAATTTTGTAACGGAAGTACTGGTAACATGTAATTTTTTTATTTTACTATTTTCCTATAAATTCAGAATATAAATGTAATGCTAATTTCTTATTTCTGTTAAATCTATGTACTTTTTTGTTTTTTGTTTTTTATTCTTTGGCTTTGCATATCAATTGTGCAATCACTAATAGCATCTCATTGTGTAAGAGGAATTGTGCCTCTAGAATATAATCAGTAATAGTCTCGGAAGTGTGTAACAAGGGATTTGTATATTAATACAACCATTAATAGCTTCTCATTGTATAAGTATGCAGAATTAGAAAAAAATTGTGAAAAATGAGTGTATGAGTAAGATCATTAGATAATATTTACAAACTAATATTTGCAAATGTAAGAGACTTAATTTCAGTCCTAAAATACAATAATTGTATTCTACTGGTCATGTTAAAAAAATTAATTGTTCTAAATCATTAATTTTTTTTTTTTTTTTTTTTTTTTTTTTTCCAAAAAAGTCGGCCGTCTCCCACCGAGGCAGGGTGACCCAAAAAAGAAAGAAAATCCCCAAAAAGAAAATACTTTCATCATCATTCAACACTTTCACCACACTCGCACATTATCACTGTTTTTGCATTTTTTATTTGTTTGTTATTGAGCATCACTTATTTAGTTTGATAGTGGTTATGTTGATGTAGATACACTCTGAAAAATCTCTATTAAAACTTATTGACAGCCATAGTAATTTTGTTGAAATGTCATTGATTGGTTGTTAATTGGGTTTAAAGCCTATCAGTTACATATGAGTCATTAACCCTTAAACTGTCCAAATGTAGATCTGCGTTTTCATTGCCAGCGCTCCGAATATTTTGAAAAATAAGAAAATCATTGAGGGTTAAGGTCTAATGTTAGTTGTTCTCCACTAGTTAAGAATGTTATATTTTAATCACTAATACAGGAATTAAAAGAAACTTTCAGAATATATGCACTGAGAGACATATGCCTTTCAGTGTATGTCTCCGGAGGCAAAGTGATTGCTCATATCGTGCGTTCCATCTCTACCTATAACTAATCCTTAATTAGAGAGCCAGATTGTTTATGCAAAAAAAAATTCCCTTTAACCCTTTGAGGGTTTTCGTCGTACTAGTACGTCTTATGCGTAGGGGTTTTTGACGTACTAGTACTCATAAATTCTAGCGGCCTCAAATCTAGTGGGAGAAAGCTGGTAGGCCTTCATATGAAAGAATGGGTCTATGTGGTCAGTGTGCACAGTCTAAAAAAAATCCTGCAGCACACAGTGCATAATGAGAAAAAAAAAACTTTGACCATTTTTTTTTAATAAATCAGCGACTTTGCAGTGTATTTTCGTATGGTATTTATTGTTGTATTCTAGTTTTCTTGGTCTCATTTTATAGAATGGAAGACATATTACAGAAATTGAGATGATTTTGACTGGTTTTACAAAGAAAGGTGCCTTGAAATTGAGCTCAAAAGTAGCAGAAATGTTCGATTTTTACCAAACTTCAAAAGTAAACAATCGTGCCAAGCGTGCAATACACGTCAACTGGTGAGTCTAATATTCTTTCACAAGTGCACCAATAATATTTATACCATTTTTTACACTAATGCAGTAGTCTGCATACAGTAAATCTTATATTTTTTGTGAAAATAAAAATTCAAAGTGGAAAGCAAAAGAATATAAGAGGGGCCTTGAGACGTGACTAATGACTAGAGGAAATGTCATTTTAGTGCAGGAATGTCTTTCTTGTTTATTCTGGACCTATTCGGAAATTGGCATCTTTTGAAATTTTTGTGAAATTGGCAAAATTGCTAAATTCTGACCACTGTACTGGATAGTTGAATTTCATAAATGAGTGGTTTCTTGCACCCATTTGATAGAAAAAATGGAGTTCTAGCGAAATATTCATGTTTTTTGTCGACTAGTACAGTGAAATTGGCCGAAAATGGGGCTCAAAGTGGGCAAAATCGCCGATGCGTAAACATCGCCGAGACCGCAAACTTTGCGAGAGCATAATTCCGTAAGTTTCTATCAAATTTCAAACTTTTGGTGTCTTTATGATCGGGAAAAGATTCTCTATCTTTTCATAAGAGAAAATAGTTTTTTTTTTTAAATTTGGCCGACCCTGAGAACGAGTTTCGGAGAGGGCCTGTCGACCCTCAAAGGGTTAAAAGCATATTGTTTTACCTTCCTTGACATAGTTTGTGGTTTATTTATTTATTCTATAAAAGAGTGAATAGTTTTCAGAAATTTGTGATTCACAGCTTTGATCTGTTCTTGTTATACTTGAAAAGCATTTTCTGATTTGGTTTTATCTATACTTTGTAACAAGAGCAAAAATACATAAAATATAAAAAAAAAAAAAATACATAAAATGTATTTTTTTGTACAGCATTGATTTTTCATTCCATTTTGTTTCATTGCAGAATAAAAGTCACAATACCATAGCTGGAACAGTTCCCAGATAACCTCTGAATACCTGTGCAGTAAAGTATGTAATAACTGCTGATATTTTTGAGCAGATTTACTATAATAAAAAACATTTAGAAATTGTATCTTTGTACAAAAGAAGTCTATTGTAAAATGTTTTCTTGAACATGAGAATGCTGTAATCATAGATTACTAGTTTGAATTTTTATAGAGTACTTGTGTAACTTAGCTTATTGAGGTTTGGAATTGTGAATAGTGATTGAGATGGAATGAATCTTGCAGGGCCAATGTCATTATGAAAGTGTAACACAACCAGGCTCCCAATTAAAAATGACCCCAAAATTCCAACAAAGTCTAAGCCACTTATTTCACTCTATTAACCCGTTAACTGTCCAAACGTAGATCTGTGTTCTCTCGCCCAACGCTCCGAATATTTTGAAAAATAAAAAATATTTTTTTTTTAAGTAAAGAGTGCATTTTTCTACATGTAGTAGGATAAAAAAGAAATTTAAGGTCGGTACTTACCGAGATATAAGACTGCAAAGTTGACGCTGGTTGCTCACCTGATGGCAACATGGAGTCCTGCCGCTGGCAGAAATGTTGCAAATATACCTTTTTTCTCATTTTTTTTTTAATTTATATAATTTTTATGTTCTGATAATTACAATTTGTACTTACCGAGATATAAGACTGCAAAGTTGACGCTGGTTGCTCACCTGTGGCAACATGGTACACAAATGTTAAGCACATCATAAAAGGGGGAAAGAAGACATAGACCACCAATCTGGAAAAAAAAAGGGGGGGAGCCATAACCTTTCCAAAAAAGGGATTTTTTTTTAGTGCCCGGGAAAAAAAAAGACGGCAAAAAGGGCAGAAATCTTACATAAATGAAAACACTTTTGGAGTAGGGGCACATCTTGCCCCCCACTCCGAAAAACAATAAATCCCAAAAATAAACCCCCTAAATTCCATCAATATAACTAATTTACTCTGCAAATATGCAGGGTTGAACCATCATTAAACAACAAAATTCCTTTCCAAGGATGCTCTGGAGCGGTGTTTTCACAGAACCAAATTAGGATCACTTTGCAACAAAAAATGGTTTTCCGGTTTTTTCCTATTCAATGTGAAGAATAAAAAAAAGGCAACAAGGGGGTTGGGTTGAGTCCCCGAGTCGCTCATTTGCTCAGAATTACAAAACACCTAAATGATGTAGTTGAAGTTTTGGGGGGTAAATTTTGAAACCAAAAATTGTCATTGTGGTTTGCCAAGCCTCTGGAGAAAAACTTTCCAGAAATTCCAGGAAAAGTTTTTGACCACTGTCTGGAAAATCTCCCAACTCCTGTCCCATAACCTTGCAATGGAGGATTTGAACTTGAGACACCAAAAAATGGAGGGTGTAGGAAAAAAATATCTTGCAAGTTTACCTTGGAGGCACTCAGATAAAAAAAAAAACCCACACACACGAGCTTTAAATCTTGCACAAAACATTTAAACCGGCAAATATTTAAAAACCGGATTTGGCCCTGGAAATGGGAAGTCAATGTTCCCTCACTTTAAAGGAGGGTTTGGAATTTTGGCAGTTTGGAGGGATACGTTTGTGTATCTTTTAGTATTTGCTTCAAAACTGTTGTTTTCTGACCCCCTTTTTGCAAAAAATAGGTTAGTTTTAAGGTGAAAAGTGTTAATGATGATGAAAGTTTTTCCTTTTTGGGGATTCTTTCTTTTTGGGCCACCCTCCCTCTTTATATTATTTATATTATTATACACTGGCCTTTTTCCCCCCAAACAGGGTGGCCCAAAAAAAGAAAAACTTTCACTCATTCACTCCATCACTGTCTTGCAAAGGGGTGCTTTACATACGTTTTTAAACTGCAAATTAACACCCTCCTTCAGAGTGCAGGCTGTACCCCATCCCAGGACTCAGTCCCCCCTCCCGGTTTTTCCTGAACCCCTTCATAAATGTTCTTTTGCTACACCCCCAACGCAGTCAAGTATTAAAAAAAACCATTTTCTCCATTCCTCCTATAAAACACGCTCACGATGCCTGCTGGAACCCAACCCTCGCACACAAAACCTCCTTTCCCCCCTCCCTCCAACCCTTTCCTAGGCCGACCCCTACCCCCCTTTCCCTTTCCCACTACGAGTACACTTTTAAAGTCTTTCGTTTCCTCCTTTCCCTTCTACATGTCCGAACCACCTAAAACAACCCCTTTCCCTCCCCCTGTGGACAACAGCTTTGGAAATCCCGCACCCCTCCTAACCCAAACTACGAATTCTTGCTTTATATTCACCACACATTGCCCAGACATGACACTCCCTCCCTCCGCCTTCTCCCCCTGCAACATTCATCCCCCCATGCTTCAACCCTAAAGAGCGTTTTTAAAACTTACTCTCATACTTTCCCCCTCTTTGCCCCCAAAGGGAAAAAATTTCTTTGTCCCCACAGACTCCTAAGTGCCCCTCACTCTTTTTCCCAAATCAATTCTATGATTCACCTCATTTTTCAAGACCCATCTTGACACGCCCACTCCCAAATATCTGAATACGTTCACCTCCCCATACTCTCTCCCCCCAAATTGATTTCAATCTTTTCACCTAACTTTTTGTTATTCATAACCCCCTTTCCCTGTTTTACCTTTAATTTTTTCTTTTGCACACCCACCAAATTCATCCCCCAATTTTGCAATT